CTCACACACACACACACACACACACACACACACACACACACACACACACACACACACACACACACACACAGCTTAGTGGGCAGATTAAACAGCTTTCACTGAGATGATCGGACCTTGAAATTAAATTTCTAATAAATTACGGTGGATTATTAGTCCCAGAGTTGGGCAGGGAAAATACAGGGAAAAGCTGATAAACAGGATTATCTGTTGGAATGAGGTTGTGTAACAACAAACTGGGAGGAGAAAATAAAAAAGGATRACAAAGTTGCAAACTTTTACTCAATATGATGGCTGCTGGATGTCCAGATTTTTAAGACTGGCCACTCACGAAAGCAACAACAACAAAAGCAAAAAAATAAATAAATAAATAAATAAAAACCACTCTAAAAATGTCAAAGCACGCCCACTGGAGATTATAATAGGATAACAGGATCTGATCTGCAGTACTAAGCTGTAACGGGTCATCTTCTCACTCATATGCTGCTGTGTTTCCAGATTGAGTTACCTGGAGAATTTACTGACCTTTGTGGTTCACTTCTGGTCGGGAGGTAGCGATGATATGCGGCATAGAGCAGCCCATGTCCAACTCAGTCAGAGTAAGTTCATTCATAAAGTAAGGCAGCTGTGGAAAGTGATGAATAATGAAGTTTAAAGAGGGAGTATGTTATTAATGAGCCTTTCTGTGACTCTGCACCTTTCATTAAAAATGCTCTCACTCTGATTTTGCTGAGCTTCTTCTGAATCTTGTGGGACACGATGTCGGCCCAGTGCTTCTCTCGCAGGAAATCCCAGAAAATTCGACCAATTAAAGCGTTGACCCATGCAGTTTGGTTCTTCTCCAGGTACTTTATTTGATCACAGGTACACTATGGTAAATGAGGTAAGGACATGGGTCAGAGCATACTAGAGTTTAAGATATATATTTAAATTAAAGAATATATGCTGTACCTTGTCTTTATGTAGTGAAAATGGTGTTTTTTACTTACATGTTCTTTAATGGTAGGGCTTGCCTCTGCACTGCTAGCTCTGGGACTGGCAAGGGGTGTTGCCTCTTCTGTGGCCAGGATTCGAGCCATGTAACTGGGGTAATCCAGTACAGAAGGAGCTCTGGTGGTGTTTGAAGGAGCTGGGGGGATGCAGTGAGATGGAGGTGTGGGGGGAGCGTCATCTTCTGTGCTGCCCATTCGGCTGGGGCCCCTGCTTCTTGAGACATGGGTGCTCTTTGCTGGGTTCCCTAGAAACGTACAGGCAACAACATGCTGGTTGGCTAATTATGTAGTGAACAGAGTTGAAAAATTATGCTCTTCGGTGTCCTTTGAAAGGCCGCATGGGTAATTAAAGACAATGTTTGGTAAATTTAGGAAATTGCTGTTAAAATAATTGTTTTCTCAGAAGGGAGTCAAAACTACAAAATTATTAAAATAAAACTACAAACAGTAAAACTGATCACAAAAGCACAAATGACTTGATATTCAGGTAAATCTCTGAAGGGGTTGACATGTATGCCGATGTACGCTGTGACCTTGTCCACAAATCTGTCACAGGTGAAGTGGAACACTTTTCAGCAGATAGATTCCTCCATGCACAATGCTTGTGTTATCTCCATCCAAGAGTTTCTGACCATTAACTATCTTTAAAAGAGTCTGCTTGTGGGTACAACACTTAGCGTCTGGAAGCAGATGGTTGAAGCAAATGTCTCAATTGCTTTCCTTTCAGAGCGGTTTTCAGCATAAAATATACACGTCYACAAATTTCTGATCAATCAAACAATCACAGGGGGGCGAAACAAAGCGAAGAACAAAATGATGACATTTTTGTCACTCAACCATGTCAATGAGAGTGGACTTCACAGGTTTGGATGGACAATGGAGAGGCCTTTTATCGGGTTGCATTTTGAGAAGCTGTTATTTTGACTCTCCCATCAAAATGTGTTCCTGATTCTCCAAATCGAGAGTGTTCTGACTTCTGTCTACTGCTGGTTAGCAGAGCAAATAAAAGTTGGCTACACATAGCTGTCCCACATTTTTGACTTTACAAGACAAACCTTGCTGTTTTCTCAAATAAATCTTTTTGCTCCAGCTGTATGAACGAGGACATACACAGGCATATGATATCACAACATTCCCTACTCATCATAAATGGACACTCGGTCAGGCTCCCTCTGTGTCACTTATTGACGCGTCAAGTTAGTTCTTAGGTTTAAGGTCAGTGTTTAAGGATCCGGGCTACTCGTTAGGTTTATGTAGTAARGTTAGGGGTTGAATGTTTAGGATTAATAGAGGTTAAGTTTAGGGTTAAGTGTCATGGTTAGGACTAGGGGTTAGTTGTGGTTGGTTGTAACACATTTTACATTTTTCAAAAATATGAGAATAGGCTCCTCGTCCATGTTTTCATGTTGTCAATTAAAGACCGGGGTGGAGGGGGAGAGACTAGCAGCATCAATAAGTGATGCAGAGGGAGCCTGACCAAGCAACATGCTGGATATTAGTGCTGTTAGACTTATCCTAWGCCAGGTATGTCCAACTCCGATCCTCAAGAGCCGGTCTCCTGCAAGTGTTAGATTTGTCCCTGCTTCAACWCAGCTGATTCAAATAGATGATTTRTCTTCTCAGTTTGCCATCAAGGTCTGCAGTGGCCCACTAATTAAGCACTCCTTAGGTTCAGCTGTGTTGAACCAGGGCAGCACCTAAAACATGCAGGCCCTTGAGGACCGACTTTGGGCACCGCTGTCCWATGCTTTACAAAACCACACAATACGCTACATCAACGTATAATAAATAACACTGTCTGCCATAAAAAGTACCTGTAACTGATGACACTAAAACCACCTTAGATTTAAGAACTTTAAAGTAAATTTGCATTTTAAGCTCTGTAATATTTTCTAAAACAAGCGTTTTTATTCCCTTGATGGGAAATGGCTTTGGGAGTGTGTAATCTATAATCCACTCACATATGTTGTATTTTTACAGATCTTTGTTTTTTTTTTTTTTAGTGGAGTGCTTTTAGTAAAATTTCTCCTACCCAGTTGTGGCTCACATCTGCCATGTCTCTGTCTGTCCTTCTCCATTTCCACCTCTGTGTCCACGGATGCCAGCAGAAGGTGACGAAACCACTCTTCTTTCTCTCTCCCAGTGCGGCCAAAGAGGTAAAGCATGGTGGGAGGGTCATGGTTCTGTTTGGAGCCTGTTTGTGCTTGTTCAGCTCCCAGGTCGTCTTCAAAGTTCTCCGCCAGACCTCCTCTTTCCCCTTCTGGATGTTCCCACCCTGCAGCTAGCTGGATGCAGATGGGATACTTTGGGTTCCAAACCCTCTTCCGAGCCAACCCMAATGGTACCAGGAATACCTTTGAGGGACAAAGGCATAAAACTGACCACAAACTTAAAGTAATTTTTTCTAGCTAATTAGCCATTAATTGTAAAATTTGCATCTCTACCTTTGGTGATTTCATGTGAGCTTGTACTTTGAGGCCATGTGCCAAAATGTCACAGTAAATGTCACTCTGAGGTGCATCAATTATTTATAAATTACATGCATCYATTCATTGGACACTTATACACTAATACAGCACTCTTCTGGTTTTCCATAGTCATGTGACTTTCCCATTCATGCTGACATTTAAAAATGTCACATGGACCCACAAATTATAACAAAGAGAGCACAAGGAAGAAAAACGATTCCGTTGCCACGTGTCTGCAATTTTTTCTGTGAACCCAAGTAAAAAGATRTTTCTGAGAGCGTTCATACTTTGCTTTTTGCCAGTTGAAAGCAGTGTGACTTGACGAAGGTGGCTTCATGGGCTCGCTCTTCAAATGCGGCCTTGCGGCTGATATTAGTGCGTGGGTAGTCCAGACGAAGGCATGACCCCTCCAGGGTTGCAAAGACGGAGTGAGTCAGAGCTGGATGGCAGGTTTCTGGGTCATAATCATGGATCTCATTCATCCAGGCCTGGAAAAGAAAAAAGAAAAATGTTGATGGTTTGGRTGAAGCTATTATTTTAGATAATTCGGAGAGCTCAAAAAACTGTCCAGACATAAATCAGGTTCTAGTGACACTAAAGCTGCCTCATCTGACAGAGRATCAGAGACAGYWGCAGGACGTTTGGCATCAAATAGTGAAAGAACTTGTGGAAAGAGACACAGGTGGCACTTCATGGCTGTGCTGGCCAGGAAGGAGTACACCTCGGCCAGGCTGCATAGAGACACACGTTCCATCACAATGTTTTAGTTCCTTAATAACCTATCCTTGCCTTGCTTATACAGTATATATCATTACATCTAATTATTGGGTTTCCGCTCTTAAAATATGAAAAATGCAATGGGGCATTATGTAAACGTATACAAACATAATATAAAGGTTAAAACTTTGCAGTGAAGTTTTCAGGATTTATAAAGTTCAGTCGTTTTAAAGTCTCAACAGCATTTTAAACTGAAACCCAGTTGTAAATGATCTAACAAGGGRATTATGGGGAAGGTATTTTACTCTCCTTTCCCAACATGCCAAACCTGCTGACAAATTACTACTTGTATTTCTCACTAATTGCCTCGCGAACTGACAGTGTCTGGCTGGAGAACGCTCCTTTCAGTAGCCTGSTGTCAAGCTCAGCCAGAAGGAGAGCACTAATTACTGCTCCACTGAAGCTCCCACAGTTTTCATCTCTGACTGTTTTAATTGTGTTCTGGTTACCTCATGCACAACAGCTGTGTGTCAGTTATAATACACGGCCTTGATTCTAATGTTATTCTTATTTTTAAAGAGCGCTCAGAAATTGATTTGTTGTTTTTAGTTTTTCCTGCTTTTGAAAAATATTTTTTAGGGTGAAGCAATGATGAATTTCACAAATAGACTGCTTTTGTAACCTTGAATAGTTTCTAGAAATTATTGCATCCCACGCCTCTATGTACAGTCTTTTTAATTATGAATAAACAGATTTTTTTTTCTGTTAAACATACATTCATGATGATCAGCATATAAAGGCCCTGTCACACWAAACAACTTATGCAAATTTATGAAACTTTTTATGGCTAAATTGCTAATAAAAGTTTTATATTTGATCAATTTGTTCCAACTGCGTTATGTACACGCTGAAAAGAAGCTTTGTGTCACTAAAATGATTTCTGTTATGAAAAAAATGTATGTTTATTTCTAACTGTTAGGTTTATGTATTTTAAGTTGTTTGGTTCACATTTTGAGATTTGTGTAAAATGATTACCGGTATATTTTATTTCGTGTCGAACTATTATTTGTTGGAAGTTATCGCGAGATTTGTGTTCATGTGATTTGTGCGTTTGTGCTGCGAGACTTGGATGAACAGAGAAGGAGCGGAAGCCTGGAGGTGAGCACGTGCAGCAGCCTTGTCTCATGTTGTTATGGTATTTTGTAGTTMTGTTTGTGATATTTTGTAAATTTATTGGTTGTGGTGTTTTAATTATTCAATATTTTGATTTAGAACAGATAACGAAGTGATATTCTTCTAAAGACCAACCTCCGAAGTGGCAGGCGGCCACGAGGTAACTTTGTTAAAGCATGTGTCACCTGTCTGTCTGTAAATGTATCTGTCTAAAGCTTTGTGTTTTGTTTTTATAGTTTTCACGGCATTTAATAAAAAAGCCCGTCGAAAGAAAGCCGTGCCAGTGTTGTCACTTTGGAGCTACAAGCTTCCTGATGATTTTTTTCAATTCCATCTTCAATGTAGATGTCTTTAAAATGTTCATAAGTTGTGTAGTGTGACAGGGCCTTCAGTAGCACTGTGAGCTTTATTATCTTGCAGTAATGACACTTTGTTAAAAAGAGATTTGTCCTTTGACTTAAACCATACCTACTTGCCTGTTGATGGCTTAAATCACAAAAAGGTCTAAAACACGGCTTAAGCTAGTGGACAGCTTTTTGCAGATTAGATTGCTGAAAATAAAAGCTTCGCTTTACAATTATCTTAATGAGTTGTCTGAATTGTAGGTGGAGCAAATAAGCTCTAACATGTGTTTTTGGTATGATTTTTAGTGTGTTTGGTCTAAGAATACTGCTCAAATTCTAAAAAAATGATTTTTGACCTTTTAATTTTATGCTAAATGATGTGCTTGTCTTATTGTTTTGATTCATAGTTGAAAAAGAGCAGCATCCATGGAGCTACAGCTTGGAAACAAACTGAGTTAATTCWTTATTATGTATAATTAGAATCTGTCCACAAATGAAAAAACTAGCAGGGGATTATGATGTTATCAGTCTATGAAATGGACGTTATTAGGCATTATCAGTCCCATACAATGCCTTCAGAGGGTCCCTACTGTGCCTTCCAGTCTTCAGACTGTCCCGACAGTGCCCCCTAGTGGGGTAATATAACAATGACAATGAATGTGTAAATAACCAAAAGATAGTGTAATAAATTATTTGTGCCCATGTCAGTCTCGAACACTGGACTCCCACTCTACCCATTACCCTACTGGAAGGCAACAATATGCAACCTTTGGAAGGCGGGGTCTTTGCCACTAACCATTTTTGCTCTAAAGTTAACCTTAGTGGCTTTAAGCCTCATATTAACCTGTTTTTTATGCCTCATATTAACCAAATAGTGGTTTTATGCCTCTTATTAACCAGATAGTGGCTTCATGCCTCATACTAACCAGCTGACAATCTGAAGCCATTCTATGGGACTGATAACGCCTAATAACGTCCATTTTATGGATGATAACATCCAAAGCGGATGCAACTAGAATGTTTGTATTCACTATATGGAGAAATGAAGAACTTAGTAAGTGTGGTAATGATTAGAAACTGAGACCAGGTGTGCAGGAAAAGCAGGCAGAAAAACTAAACAGATATGAAGAAAGAAAGAGTGTTTACAAAACACAGTAGAACAGAAGGGTTGCATGAGGAAATCAAACAAAACATCAAAGAAGAAACTTTATTCCTACAACAAAACCTCACAGATCAAATGTTATTTCCCACAGCTGTCTTTCGAGAAACAGCACTCTTTTAACTTTGCCACCATTTTGTTCTACTTCAGATGGTTACCAACTGAGAGTTTCCACCTCTACTTTGTTATCTTGACACGTTCAACTTATACAGCGGGTAAAATAAGTATTGAACACGTCACCATTTTTCTCAGTAAATATATTACTAGAGGTGCTAATGACATGAAATTTTCACCAGATGACGATAACAACCCAAGTGATCCACACATACAAAGAAATCAAACCATAAATGTCCAGAAATGAAGTTATTTGTAATAATGTGGAATGGCATGGGGAAAAAGTATTGA